GCAAAAGTCACGTCTCATATTGAGAAGCCATGTCCCACAGGCAAAGGACACTTCTCCAGGCAAAAGTCGTGTCCCAGAGGCAAGAGTCACAACCCACAGTCAAAAGTCATGTTCCACGGATGAAAAGTCGTGACTCACAGACTCAAGCAGCAACACATGAATGAAAATTCGGGAAAAGTATCAGGCCTTGACATTCTGAAGCAAGCAGGCCGTGGGCATGTGGTACCGGGTCCAAGTGAAGCCAAAGGAAGCAGAGGCGGGGACGAGGTGAGGCTCAGTCCAAGTCAATGTAAGGACTGGCGAGCCACATTTCGGGGAGATTGCTCATTCCTGAGAAGTGTGGAAGTGCTGCTGAAGCGCTTGTGCGCTATCTGCGAGTAGCATGCGCACGAGAGTCCTGCTGGGCATCGCTGCACTGAGAGGGAAGGCAGTAATAGCCGCATAATTTAGTAGTAGGGATAAAGCTGAGTAGCAGCACTTCAGAGTCAAGATTCTCAAGGAGAGAGAGAGAGAGAGAGAGAGAGAGAGAGAGAGAGAGAGAGAGAGAGAGAGAGAGAGAGAATGCATGCAGAAGACTAGGAGGGACAGAGAGAGAGAGAGAAGACAGAGAGAAAGAAAGAGAGAGTGAGCCAGGTAGAGAGAAGAGTCACCTACCTTAGATGAGCGTGCTGGTATTGAGTTGCTGAATTCTGCGCTGTTGAGTGCGTGGTGACTGGATCTACGAAACTGTTTAATGTGATAATTTGTTGGAATTTCTAAGCTGCGAATCTCTGGACTCCAGTGTGGATTTCGTGTGATCCCTCAATGTGTGTGTGTGTGTTCTCAATGTGTCGAGCAGTGAGGCTCAATGCAGAAGTGCAAGACTTGCTGAAATACCGAACAAGAGGTGGAGAGAGATGAAGACTAGAAAAGAAAGGAAAGAATCAAAGAAGAAGAAGAATTACACAAGTTATGCCAATGTCTTCTCCCTCATTCTTCCTCCTCATCCCTCTTCTCCTTTCTTACTCCTGCTCCTGTCTCTTATACACATCTAGATGTGTATAAGAGACAGGTGTGTGTGTTCTCAATGTGTCGAGCAGTGAGGCTCAATGCAGAAGTGCAAGACTTGCTGAAATACCGAACAAGAGGTGGAGAGAGATGAAGACTAGAAAAGAAAGGAAAGAATCAAAGAAGAAGAAGAATTACACAAGTTATGCCAATGTCTTCTCCCTCATTCTTCCTCCTCATCCCTCTTCTCCTTTCTTACTCCTGCTCCTCTTAATATAATCAATTAAATACAACAACAAATGAATGACTGAACAGAAATCATGTCCGAGTGTTCCCCCTTACTGCCAGCAACTCAAGAAACCATTTCTAAGCCCTAACCTCACTTCTCCCCGCTTTTTAGCATCTAGGGCTATGGTGGAACGTCTGTACTCTTACGGATGTTCAAAGGACAATGCAAACACTTCAGTGCTACCTTCTTCCCCGGAATACAACGTACGGTCGTTATAGCTGTATTTGGGGTATCTTTCAGTCTAAATACAGCTATAATGACCGTATGTTGTATTCGGGGGACGAAGGTAGTCGCATCTCCTGCGGCCATAGCCACACTCTCAGATGATGTCCAAGACCGACGAGGACACACACTGGGGCCAGCGCCAACCAAGGAAGTGAAGATGATGGTCAATGATAGCCAAGGTGAATCTTTCTATGTTGGCTCCTCTCTCTGGCCCTCGTCCTCACCTCCTACTCCCGTCTACTGACCTTCTCCTTCCTCTGGCATGGGGTGCTTCACCCTCTTCCACCATGGCCAACGACTCCTCCACCATAGCCAAGGAGGTCTTCTTCCTCGCCCTTCATCTCCAAAGCTCTTCCGGGACTCCCCCCAACTTCCCCCTCTGGGCGGAGCAGCAGCATGACTGCCGGGTAAAATACCGCTCCACTCATTCTGCCTGAATGATATATTCTCCTATCATGGCCTCTGTAATGACCCGTCAAAACACAGACTGAGAACACTGCTGATTTCTGAAGTTCTGCCGATGGAATGGATGCCTTGCTGAGATTCCCGCATTCTGCTGTGTTTCTAAGTCTGTCTGTGTGTTCGTGCTTGTGACCTGCATGCCTGTCTGAGTGCTTGTTGGTATGAGTGTGTGTGGGACCCGCAAGGGTACTTGCTTGTTTGGTAGGCCCGTAGGGCCGGTACTTACCTGTG